TCAAATGCCCGCACCTGGTTTTTTATCCTATACCCGAAACACTTGAAATAAGTAAGATAAATATCATCTTTCATCCATAATCATGTTCTATTAATATTTCAATGCAACAATAATTCAAATATAAATTTTATGACCCAAACATGAAGTTTTTAAAAAGTTCAAATTTGAATTCAACTTAGTCGGACATATTTTTTAGTCCATCACTCGTATCGCCCACAAATGCCGAATCACATCATTCTGGAGTTGCTTGATGACGAATCTGTTGATGCATTTGGATAAGTTCGTCGAACGTCGTCAGGTTTTGCTCGGAAGATCAATAGGATCACCCATTTGCTCAAATTCAAGATCATGGCGTATTGCGTCACCCTCATCCTCCACAATCTTGTTGTGCATGATCACACGAGCTGTCATCACCTCCCACGATGTCTCTTTGCAGTTCGTCGAACAACTGCAAAACAGGCTTGGAGCACCCCAAATGCCCTCTGGACATCCTTTATAGCTCCTTTGTCTTTGGGCAAAGTGAGATCTTTTCTCACCCCTTGTCTCAAAGATGGTCTTGATGAAGGTCGCCCACAAAGGATCGATAACATCACAAAGATAATATCCCATGTTGTACTAATGCCCTTATATTTTAGTCTGTGTTACTTTTATATGTTGATAGGTGTTCCTTTGGTTTGCTGCGGATCGATTCTCATGTCAACCTGCGGATTCGTTAATGTATTTGTTTTCCTGTAAAATCGTTCATACGTAGAATCTTACCCTGACAATTTGATGATTGTGAAGTTTATTACATTTGCAAGAATAATTTTTGATGGAACTTTTTTGTTCTTAAGTTGATAAACAAAATGCATGAAGGATCTCTTGTAGGAGCTGTACTTTATCTGGCGATTGCCTGAATATCTATATGCATATTTTCTACTTAATACTCCCTCTGTCCCAAAATTCTTGTCTTAGATTTGTCTAAATACGGATGTATCAAGTCATGTTTTAGTATTAGATACATCTGTAACTAACTAATCTAAGACAAGAATTTTGGGACGGAGGGAGTACCTTATTTATGTTTCTCTCTCTCTAGTAACAGTGTTATTTCCTTGCAATTTTCTCTACTTGTGGTGTGGCATTAACTCTTTTGTACAACTTGCAGGGATTAAAGATTTGGCAATTTAGACAGAAACGTTGCTCGAGATGCTGCAAGCCCACATGCCAATTGAATTCACAAGGATTCAACTTTCAGTTGAGACTGTAAGCCCACATGGCTGGCTGGAAATTTTCAATGTCACTAGTGAAAACATGAGAGAACAGAAAACAGGCCCATATTTCCAACTACCGTCTACTAGTTCATAGTAATGTACTGTGTACCATAGATATGCACCATTCAGGTTTTTCAACTTTTACTTTACCTAAACTTCTAGGACTTTGGTTTCAGTTTTTCTTCGTTTTGCTGGTGCAACTTCTGTACTACCCGAGTGACAAAATCTGCACTGATTTCTGGGAAATGTTCCCAGCGAAATCCCCTCCGTGCTCCAATCAGTCTGTAACAAAATAATAATATCTGATCCTCCGTGCTCCAAATTACTTGTTTTAGATCAGTCTAGATACGGAACTAGTTCTGGTGTTTGATTCATAGCATTGCCATTGGGATCCTTCGGAATTTTTTCCATTTGCATGAATTTTTGATCTTGTTAGAATTTCTTTGTTTTACATGTGACAAACAAACCAAAAGCCGCTCCTGCGATATGCTTCTGCAGTGTGAGTTTTGCATAAAAAAATCCAAACATTCCTGAAATGGCGGTTTGGTTCACATCCGGCAATGCTATCGGCATGATGCCCTCGTATCACACGTCTGAATGGACCGGCAACAACCCAATCCAAAACCGACGGGTGGCCGGCCTGACCCTACAGGGCATCTGTAAGGTCCCAAAGTTTCCCGCTAATTAAAAAATGATTTATTTAAGTAAATAATTAATTTGAATATTTCATTTTGCCATTTTGTTAAATAGTGAATAAGTTAACCTTCTCATTTGCATTGTTCTGGAGCAAGACACGACCACGTTGTGATATTTGGGAAGTACCAAAATTATGTCACTTTGTTTGCACAATCCTGGCTATCACTGTAATGCAAACCCCTCCGTTTATTAGATGAATGGTGATATTTCTAAGTATATGTTAGACGCTCTTCAATATAGTTTTTTAAATACAGTACATACACAAGCGCTCATATATACACGCACACACTCATCTCTATGAATATACACATGCACACCCTACCTCTATGAACACCTTTGAGAGACTGAGCCGTCATATCATCTTGAGATTTTACAAAGTCATCATAGGCGCCCTGTGGTTGACGGGACGTCTCCTCCCACTGAACACGCATCGACGGAATTCTTGAAATAAATTCAGAATAAATACGAGCACCAAGACTTAAACCAGAGTGGGCTGGGGATACCACTATCAACCTAAACATCCAACCACAAGTTGGTTCGCGATCTTCCATATAGTTTAGATGATTTGTGTGGTCTCAATTTTTTTAGTGAGGCTATGTTCCGAATTTCATCTGAAACGATCCGTTTGCTACCCGAACCTTTAAATAATAAACGTTTGGAAATGAAACTTGTGGTTGGGCCAAACCTACCTAATGCACAACCTAAAACTCACCTAAAGATTTAGCCTACTAATGTAAACCCTAGCCTTCCTCTGTTGTGTGACGTCCGATCAAAATTGGATGGCCCAAAATAGCTCCCAAACCCCTCTCTTTTGCCCAGTCTATAAAAGGAAAGGCTCCCCTACCTAAAATTTAGCATTCCCTTGATTTCCGTGCGCAACCAACCAACCATCCACCACCTCTTCCGTGATCCCTCCTCAGCCATCCATCCATCCCGACTGTCCATGCCAGATTGGACGACCACCATGTTAAGCCATGGAAACACACTAATCGTGTTTGATGATTTTCTTGCTTGTGGTTTGTACTTTATTTGTTGTGTTTCTGATGTATTTGGCATTATTGCTAGCCTGCCACAACTTGGTGAAGCACACAGTCTTCCTTGCTGGTTTCAGATGAGGTTAGTAATTTGTGTTTCCCAATAAGTCACCTTTTCTTGGTATACATTGTTATCGAGGCTGAACTTTGTTTCCATCAAAGTATAACAATGGTGAGTTTTTTTTGCAAGTTGATTTCCTTAACACTAAAGGAGGATATGAACTAGAGTTGCAAAGAAGGACACTAAGGACACAATTTCACATTTGCATGCATTGTGCCATTTACATTGCATCCTCCATTATTTTGTATTGACATCTCTGTTTATCCTTTGTTAGCGTTTTAACTCCAATTATCTCAGCATTCCTGGTATGTTGTCAATTGGTTCTTGTTAATCTCCATAGTGATGACTTTGGATCCACATTTTTTGCTTCGTTAGTTCAAGCAAAATCTAATACTTCATATAGATATTACTCCACTTGACCATTCCATAACATGCAACAACATTGAAATTATACACGTCCTGTGCGAGACATTTATGTTTATTTTAATGGTTCTTTCCCTCTTTTCAGGAAACACACTAAATCAGTTATCAAGATTCAGATGCAATATCGTTACTGTTTAGGCTTTGGTTTCCTTGCACAAGTTTTTGCTAGCATAGATTATGACATGCTCCAAGCTACGATCTAAGAAATATTCAGAGTTGGGACTCAATTTCACATCGATTAGGTCACTTCCAGAGGAAGATTTCTAGATCTGGGACTACAAAAGCCAGGGTTCTTCGCTAGCAGGAACACGACGCCCTTGGGGACAAACCCCTTACACAAGAGACGGATCCACTGATCCCAAAGCGGGGCTTTAATAGCGAAATAAAGTAGCTAAAGCAAGTAAAGTCAAATAAAGTAAAGTGTTTCTTTGTCTGAAAGTAACAATGATTGCGGAGCTTGCAATGACTATTGGATGGAAGATTTGCGGCCCTGGGGAGCTACCAGTTGTGAATCGGTATGAAGACACGACAACCACTTGATGTAGATCGGGCATCCTTGGTTGCATCTGGCAGTGACAATAGAGGAGCTACAAGATAAGTGTTCATTTCTTTTAGTTCCGTCGGTGTAGGGCCTGATAATTCCCCCTCCTTGACATCAGACCTGTCCTAAGGGCTGGAATTGGGGGAAAATGCATTGAATGAACCCTGATTCTTCCCATGTTGCATGCTCCACTGGCAGGTTGGCCCACTTGATGAGCCATTGGACTACAGGAACGCTGATGTTACCCTGGGCTCGTGGAATCAGTTTTCTTTGCAACAAAGCTTACAGCTGTACCAGAATGTGACCGATATCATCCAGCAGGGGTAGATGGGGGTTAGAAATGGCCCAGGGCCCCATGTGTTCTTCAATTGACTGATGTGGAATGTGGGTTCATGAGGAAGCAATACTTTGTAGGATACATGCCCTACTCTTTGTAAGACCCTGAAGGGTCCATAATACTTGAAATGCAGCTTGAGATGTCTATGAATACTGAGTGAAGTGTGTCTATATGGTTGTAATTTAATGTAAACCATATCTCCCACACTTAGCTGTCTACCAATCCTCTTTTTATCAGCAAAGTGCTTCATCCACTCCCGTGCCTTGAGCAGATTGTCTTTGATTTATTTTGCTGTTGCAATAATGCTATCTTATTCCTCTAGAGTGTTGATGCGGAGCATCCTACGATCATCCCCATTGACCAACCTCCGTCTCCCCAAGTGCCAAGTGGACCAATGACACAAGCATGTGCAAGAGCTCTCAAGACCGAGGTGACACCTCTTCTTAGTGACATTCCATATGACTCATGTGAGATATGGCTACTACCTCAATCCAGAATTCTATGTGTGCTTAGGTACCAAGAAGACTATTGTAGGGTGGAGCCCTAAGTGGAGATCTTTTCACACTTGGAGGGGAAAAGGGGATGAACACAAGAACAGAAAAAGAAAATTCACTCAAACAAAACCCAATCAAACATCCACTATGTTGAGTATCGTGACTATTAGGAAGTATAGGATTTATTCCTACCTTGTCTTGTACTCCAAAAAGATCATGTACTCACTATATATACGCCCACGAGGCTCAAGCAATACACAACAAATATTCTGCCAATCTCTCTCGCTCTCTCTTTCTCCCTCTCTCTCTCTCTCTCTCTCTCTCTCTCTCTCTCTCTCCCTTCTAACATGGTATCAGCCTAGCCGATCCAACCCTAGCCGCCACCCGCCGCTTTCGCCCCGCGCGCCGCCCCTGGGGCGGTCGACCTCCATGACCGCTGTCGAGGGCTATGCGGCCCGTACCTAGAGTTCGTCCGCCGGTCGTGTTGACCGGCTGCCCTAGAGAGTCTTTTTCCCGAGCCCTTGCTTCGGGTTTCCTCTCTTTCACCGATCAATTGATCGGTGCTCTTTTTTGGTTCTCCGATCTCGCCTGCTGCCGTCCGTTGTCTAAAATGTATGTCTACCTCATCAACATATTCATCAACCGTGACGAGATCAGGTTGCCACGCGATGCCTCGGCTTCGCCACGCGACCGGTACGCTGGTCCGGCTGCCTGTTCGTGCGCTGGGTGCGCTGGGCAGCTGGCTTGTCCGTGTCGGCCGCGACCACTCGTTAGGCGTCCCACTTGTGGTGCTGCTCGGGAACTCCCGCTGGCCCATAGATGCATGTTGGCCGGTCGTGCTTCTCCATGACTCATTGCTCCTGTACGTATCTCATGCGGTCTGAGGTTGCATGCCCCATTGTCTGACGCTAGCTGTTGGTCTGATGCTAGCTGTTTGTGACGCCCGGGTAATTAAGCTATAGTGATCCTCTACTAATGATGCCATGTCACCTCGATTATAGTTGCTAATCTCGAGTTAGTTCGAAACCGATTCAAATTCAAAATTAAAATATAGGCAAACAACAAAAGTTTTCAAACAATAAAACTAAAATGTTCGGGTTGTGCCAAATAATGCGTAGGTAATTATGGTGGAGAAACCACACTTTTATAAAATATGTATAATACTATAAGATGAATAAAACTGTAGATAAAACAATTAAATTAAATGCCTATTGTATTATGTAAAATACTAAACTGTTCTGTTTAGGGTAAATCTTTTTATGGCAGTGGGTTTAGTGCAATGCTAAATTTAGGAGTTGAAATTATATTTTTACAAAATTAAAATAAAACAG